TTTTTTTTTTTTTTTTTTGGTTCCTTTTAGTTTTTTTTTTAATGAGTAACCTGCCTCCACCCTAAAATGAAAGCTCCCTGAAGGGAAGAAGTGCATCTGCTTTGCTCACTGTTGAGTGTATAGCACAGTGTCTGACTCTAGCAGGTACTCAGATATGTCTCTGCTGGGTGCTGGGGCTGAAGAAGTGTGGTTTCTCTATGCTAACTGCCCCACCTGGGTTTAAAGGGCGAGAAGGAAGCCCATCTTTCTTCACGGGGTGGGGAAGGGGCCCAGTTCTGCAAAGTTTGTAGAGAACTTAAGGTTTTCCTGGCCATTTGTGGGTGGAGGTACAGATGGAAGAGATACCATCCCAAGCTGAATAATAATAAGGCCGCCTTCTTTGCTCCCTGTTCAAAAACACCTAGTATGTGATGCAAGCTGAACTGGAAATAAAGGTATGATGCTGCCGTGGGGCGGCTTGAGGGCCTACACTGTAACTTTCTTAACTGGACTAGTACAGCGGTTCTCAAACTTTTTGGTCTCAAGACCCTTTATACACTTAAAAATTATGGGGGACCCCAAAATATTTTGTGTGTTATGTCTATCAATATTTATTAGAATTAAAACATTTAAAACACAGGAATACACAAGCACACAGTCCCATAGTCATCAGAGTGTTGATGTCATCACATGTAGTGCCCCTTCTGGAAAACTCGATTGTGTGCTTGTGAGTTAATGAGGGATGAGAAGGGCAAATGGCATCTTAGAATTATGGAAATAGTTTTAACCTTGTGAATCCGCAGAGAGGTCTCAGGGACTTCCAGGGGTCCCTGGACCACACTTTGAGAACCATGGACTAAAAACTATATCACAACCTTGAGGGCTGTTCATTCTCAGCTTTCACCCTTCTCTCTTCAATTGGCAGGGCCTCACCCGCCCTAAGAGCGGGGGCCCTAGCTCTGTGTGGGTGATTCTTGGGTGGTTGAGTTTTATTACTGTTATCGGTACTGATTTATCAGGCCCTTTTAAAAAGGAAGTCAGTAGGTGCCAACGCACCTGCGTGGGCCCTGCATTCTTGGAGGTGTCGTCATGCCTCTCTCCCCTCCCCCGGGTGTGGTATCCCTCCTTACTTGGACTTTCCTTTCTAGAAGGAAGGGCCAGGCCAAAGTTTGCTCTGAGGCCTGCGTCACAAGTGTGCTTGGGTTGTGTAAGGGAGGAATGTGGAAAATAGTTTGAATTTGATAAAGGTGCTGTGGAGGAGGGGAACCCTTTCATTCCTAGAGCTGGTACGTCCACAAGTTTGTTCACAGGGCTGAATTCAAGCCTTTCTTGGGAAACCCAGAGAAACAGCACAGAGAAGGGTTTATATTCCTGTTTACTATGATTTGAGACTGACCCTAATCTCATTTCTGTCCATCATCCCTCCCCATCCCCAAATCCTCAAGCTAAAGCTGATCAAGACCTGTGTGTGGAATGAAAAGCTAGTCCCATGCTTGGGAGATTAATACTCAGTGGGTTAGGGAGATAAGTAAGGTGAGTGCATGATGTTATGGACTGTAAATTATAGGTTCACAAGATAGTTATCTGGGAATGGGTCATCCGAGATCATCTCACCCACACACTGTCAGGCTCCTCTGGCCCATCTCCACCCTCTGAAAGAAGTTACTGAGAGCATTTTTACCCTTCTGCTTTATCCTCCCTTTGAATACTTTCTGTCTTTAAGTTCTACAAATACCCTGTTGTTTTAGTTTGAAATCTACCTTGTGAAGCCAGAAGAGTTGTAATTTTCCATGATTAGTTTTATTAATTCACATCTTACATAATACCTTTTTCTTTCCTTCCTCTTCCAACTCTTAGAATTAAAGAGAGAGAGAGATGGTAAAAAGTCATATATCGTGTTGGTGAAATTTTTTTCAAGAAATTCCTCTTGCCAGCTCTTTTTCTCCTTGATTGCTCAAGCTCGTTTTGATGGAGTTGGTTAATAATTCTTTGAGAAAGAGTTGAAGTGTATACTTATGAATCTCAGACTACTCACCAAAGCATTTTAAGCCCTTTAGCAGAGGTGGAATTAAATCACATGATCTGTTTTCTGGTCAATAACTCGTAATACTTTACTACTTTGTGTGTGGGGTTTAGCTGGTGGTGCTCACAGCTAGGGAAACTAATGAATTATCAGGAGATAATTCCTTAGCCTTGAAGAAGCTACATGCACTTTCAGTACACCCCATCTCCATGAGAGGCAGTAGGTGCCAGGCTCTGGGCATGTGTCTTACCATTGACTTGGTTTAGCCATGAGTTTGCTTTCTGACCTTTTCCCTCGCTGGGACTCAATTTCTCCATCTGTAAAGTGCAGGCACCGGATGAGATCATCTCCACAATCCCTTCCAGCTCTTAACATTCTATGGTACCCCAGGGACAATGGAGATTGATCATTATTTCAACATTACCAGGGATGAACTGGAAAAGAGTAATCTTTCCGTCAGGGTCAAAAGACGGGCTGCAGCATTCAGCCAAAATATCTCAGTTCCTATGAGGTATTGAAGAAGATTGATGGCTAACATTTATGAGGGTCCCACCAAGTGCCAGGAACTGTGCTAAGTGCTTTTCCGTGGATTATCTCATTTAATTTTAAGTAGTGTAAAGGATGTTTATGTTTGGAGACAGGCAGATCTTAATTTTTTTTTTTTAACTAATGAATGTTAATTTGAGTCCTTGTTCCTTTCCTAGCTTGCTGGGTGACCTTGGCTTTGTTCCCTTAACTGCTCAGAGCCTCATATTCCTCCTCTATAAAAGAAGATAATGCCTACCTCATTGGATTGTTGTGGCAATCAGGTGAGAAACTGTACATGAAACTACTCTGCAGACTGTAAAATGAGATACGAGTATTCGTGGTTATTATTTAGCAAATAGTGTTGCCTACTGTCTTAGGCTGGGTTCTCTAGAGAAGCAAAACCAGTGAAGCATCTATATGTATATATACACAGAGAGAGAGAGAGAGAGAGAGAGAGAGAGATTTATCTCAAGGAAATGGCTCACGCAGTTGTAGAGGCTAGCAAGTTCCAAGTCTGCGGATCAGGTGTCAGGCTGGAGGCTTATCCTGACTCATATAGCTACAGGGGCTGACGAACCCAAGATTGGCAGGTCAGATGACAGGCTGCTGGCTCATGAGGTACGGAGACTGATGAGTCCAAGACTGGCAGGCAGGCTGATGGCTCAAGTCCCCAAAAACCAGAGATCAAATGATGATGAGCTGGATGCAGGATCCAGAGTGAGCAAAAGCCAGCGAGCTTTGCAGAACATCCATATGTATTGGTTGCAGGCCACACCCCCGACAAAACTCCCCTTACAACTGGTTGGCTGATCAAATTAGATCACATAGTGGAAGTGAT